AGACTTCATCGGTGATGGTGGAGAGAATCCAACCCTGGAGAAGGGCATCGAGTTGGCACCATTCGTCGTCGTCTTCGGAGAGGGGGACGACAGATCCATCGAGGTATCCCTGGAGATTAAATCGTCGAACGAGAAGGAGAAATAGACGACTCCATTTTTTGTAGTTCGGTTGGGAGAGGCTTAGTTGAACGGGAACATGCAACTTCACATTAGAGATAGTTGTGAGAGCAAGATGTGGGGGTTTGGAGGATGTATTTTGAGAGATAACCTCACTATTTTCAGCCATGGTGAGAGAGAAGGAGGGAGAGCCGACGGGAGAGAGGAGTCATCGCCGAGAAAGAGGCCGCCGCGGGGGAGGCGGGGCTGGCCGAATCGAGAGAGAGAGAGAGAGATGGGGAGATTAGGGTTTAGGGTTTTGTGGCTCCGATACCATGTAGAAAGAATATTTTCATTGAATAATTGTGTAGAGAATACAACAATATATACTAGAGGCTTCAATCCTAATCATAGTAGGAGAGCCACATTAGGAAACCTATACAAGTATGGTAATACTATAATTAAATATAATTAATATATTTAGCACTATATATTGACATTATTGATATTGTACTATTTGAAGATAAAAACACATGGAGCTCGTTTTATTTCTAGCTTAGCCTTTTTCACACAAATACTCCTAAACCTCTGTGCTAAAACATAACACATTAATACTCAATTAATACGTTTAAGGGTTGGGTTTTGAAGCAAATGGCTTCCGTTCACTTTGGAGTGTTACTGTCTTTTTGGGCACCTACGATATTCTGTTCGCAAAATTGGTGTTTCCTTTTACTCAAAGTCAACTAATTTTGTTAAGTGCAATTAAAAGGGGATAGGGGTGGGTTCAAGTCAGGATGATTTTACACATGGATTAGGGGAAAGAACAAGTATCATAGGTACCCTAATTGGAGTTAGTGTCATCCAGAGCCACTCAATGTGAGTGGCTCTACCTATACCACTCAATGTTAGTCACCCTAGAACCCCACGGATGTTTCAAATATCACATGCAGTATTTTTTTATACTCCTTCCGTCCACAAATAAATTTCCCGTTGCGCGTTACGATGTTTGACTGAAGTTATTTTAAAATCATTTTATATGAAAAAATGGTGTAAAATTTAAAAATAAAAACTACATATTAAAAAACTATATCAAAAGATCTACAAAACTAGAGGTGACATGGCTATATTATTTTATCAATTGGGTGACGAAATTAGGCCAACAAAGTGAAAGTTTGATTCTGTGAATAATGAACGGAAAGTTCATTTGTGGACGGAGGGAGTATCAGAATAAGACTTATAGTCTCCCAAATAATGTCATTACATAATGTCAAATTTTGACATTTGAGAGTGGTAACACTCCTATTTAATTGTTACAACAGAATGAACAGACGCATTGTGTTTGAATTTATTGATTGATGAGTAGTTACCAATGAATGAATTGTGCAGGTTTCTTGACAAAGCAGCAATCATGGAAGATGATGTTGAAGCTAGTACTAGTGAGAAACAGAGTCCATGGAGGCTGGCAACAGTGACTCAGGTTGAGGAGACCAAACTGGTACTGAACATGGTTCCCATCTGGCTAACCTCCGTGATGCTAGGAGTCTGCATGTCCTTCGGCTCAACCTTCTTCGTCAAGCAAAGCACCGCCATGGACCGCCACGTGGGCCCCCACGTGGAGATCCCACCGGCAAGCATCTACGCGCTCTCCGCCGTTGGCCTCCTGTTGTCCGTCATCGCCTACGAGAAGGTCCTCGTGCCCGTCCTCAGGAAACGGACGGGCAACGAGAGAGGCATCTCGATTCTCCAGAGAATCGGGGTCGGGCTCGTCCTCAACGTCGTGGGAATGACGATCGCGTCCGTGGTCGAGAGAGAGAGGGTGATGAGAAGTAGTAGGGGTGCTCCGTCCATGAGCGTCTTCTGGCTCACGCCTCAGTACATGGTTCTTTCCATCGGGGACGGTTTTAGCCTCGTCGGGCTACAAGAGTTCTTCTATCATCAGGTATTCATAGGCAGACAGGCCAAAACGAGGTTGTTTTGATGGTGTTTTAAAACCCCTTGGTTCCCATGACATTGGTTGACATTGGGAACCAATGTCATGGGATGACCCGGGGGTGCTCTAGTGTCCCGTTCGTAAAATTGACAGTTCCTACCCCCGGTAAATCCACCCACCCTTCCCTGACCTGAACACACCCCCCACCCCCTACAAAATTAACTTGGGGGTGCAATTGAAGGGGGTGGGGGGTGTGTTCGGGTCGGGGCAGGGTGGAGGGATTTACCGGGGGGTTCGGAGGGTTAGGGGGGTAGGAACCATCAATTTTACGAACAGGGCACCGGAGCAACCCCGGGTCATCAAAATGTCAGTCTAAATTTTTTAATTATACAAACATTTTCTATCAGTGTGAATTACCGTTAAAATGTCGGTGCATTTCTTTGGGGTACACTTTTGGTGATACCATGTACTATTCCCGCCTTTCTCACAGAAATTCTTTGGTACGCTATTGTTCAGGTTCCCGATTCGATGCGGAGTTTGGGGATGGCATTTTACCTCAGCGTGCTCGGAGTCGGGAGCTTCTTGAGTAGCTTCTTGATATCGGTTGTGGATAGAGTAACCGAGAAGCACGGGGGGAGTTGGTTCGGGGCGGATATGGACCGTAGCCGAGTAGACAAGTTCTATTGGCTGATCACCGCCATGACTGCACTGGATTTGTGCTTGTATCTCTTCTTTGCACATAGGTACACTTACAAGAATGTGCATGGAACTTTGGATGATGATGATAATGCAGACCTTCAAATGACAGATTCTGCTGAATGAGAGGAAAAAAACAGTGATATTAAAACAATGCTTGTGTTTTAAATTTTGTTGTGTTTTTGTGTTATAAGAGGTTTGTAATAAATGCACTTAGAAAGGGAAATGGTCTATGGCATAAAGCCATAATATAAACAAGCTCAAAGTCAACATCATGGCTTATTTGCAAATAAACATTGAATTGAGTTGAAAAGGCCACATTATGAATTTTGTTGGCTCCTTTTCTTTACCTTCTCTTGAATCGTGAATGACAATTTAAATTAAAACATCTAATTTCTTTAGTATTTAAAAAATTCTTTTTTATTCTATCAAGTTTCTCATGTGCCATAAATGAAAAATGTTAAAACGAGTACTAAAAATACGAGAGAGAAAAATATTTAAATAAGAGTAAAGCATAGTTGTTTTCTTTCAAAAAATAACATTTACACTACGTTTGGTTGAAGGATTTTGGAAGGAAAAGAAAAGAAAATGATTTTCTCTCATTTTCCTCACCAAAATGAGAAGAATTTGGTTTTCCTTTCACTTAGTACATTTGTCTTCTCATTTTTTTTTTCTAAGCACTTTTCCTCTCAAACCAAACTTGAAAAACTGTTTCCCATTTCATTTTCTTTTCTTTTCCCTTTTAAATTCCTTGAACCAAACATAGTGTTAAGTATTTTACATATTTCAAAAATAAACGAGTATATTAAGAAAAACGAGTATCTTTTTTGGACAAGATCAAATTGGAACAAGATCACGCCCCCATACCGATTTTGAAACCCTACCCGCTAACCGGACTTTGAATTAATACTTATTTGAATCTACTCTAATTTTTAAAAACTTTTTAAATTTATTTATGAGTAAATTTTCAAAATGGTACTCAATAATTATGTATTTTTTCCAAATTAGTCTCTAAAATTAACTAATTTTCAATATGATACTCATTAATTGAAAATAATGCCCAGTCTCCCGACTAACGGTTGTTAAAACGACATTAAACGTTATACTATCACAAAATGGTTTGGAGTACTTTTTAAATGGGTATTTTCTCAACTTTGGAGAAAAAAAATATTATGCCATTTTCACAACTTTTGAATTATTATTTAGGGGGAAAATTTTGTACAGAATTATCCGGAAAAATAAAAGGATGGCAGTTTCATTTTAGAAAAAATAATATAGGTAATTGGAGATTATCAATAAATATTTCAGAGTATTTTTCATGAAAAAAATTGCAATGCCACAAAAGTTGGTGGGGTATTATTTATAAAAAAAATTAAAAAATATATTTAAATTTAATATTAGAGTTTAAAAAAAAGAGAATTTACCTAAAATAATCCCACCATTCTTTTATTTTTGAAAAACGGGCATGTTTTAAAATTTCCGTAAAGTGAGCGTTAGCTTTTTAACGGCGACCCAGAACTCGCACACATACATAAAGATAAAACTATTTCCGGTGACAGTGAAAGGGAAATTATTTTTTAAAGAGCGCGAAAATATGAGATTATTTAAGCCTAAAAGAAATATTATCAACATTACGCTAGCGTGAGGACTCCGTTTGAGTTCCTGAATCTCTTTCAAAGCTCGGCTAGAGGGTAGGGTTTTCGAATCAAATCAACTCTCTTTAGGGTATATTTGCAAATCATTAAAACAAGTTTTAGAAAACGAGTTCTGGAAAATGAGTTATTTTTCCTGAAGTCATTTTCCTTTTTTGTTGTTTGGCCAAAAGTTTGAAAATAATATATTCTCTTTTTTTGAAAATGAATATCCTGAGAATGGTTTATTTACGTGGCACGAAGTACAAAATTGCAAATCAAGTTCATAATTTTTAAAGGATAAAGTCCTTAACATCTACTGCAGCTCCTTAAACCTTTTACCATCATACACCAACAATTCAATATGAGGGATGCCATATAGACCAGAAAAAAGGGTTTTGTTATTGTTGATTCATAATAACAATGTCATACATGCCTTTATTAATTCATACAAACATTCCTAATAACAAAATGATACAAGCATCCACTAATTTATACAAACATCTACAAAATTAGATTTATACATTCATAAGTTCTAGTCTCACTGTAAAACTTTTTGATCCATGTCATCATCAAAACATCTCTAAATACACTTGTGTCATTTGCTTAATCCATCTGAATTGCAGTAAGGCACAACTATAACCATCCGAAGCCTTGCACCACTAAAGCCATGTTAAACCTTCCTAGTAAGTTTCCCAAGAATGGGAGACAACAATGAAGACGGAGACGTGGGCCGCAATGAAGATGGAGATGTGGGTGGCCATGAAGACAAGGATTGAGATAAGCAAAGAAGATCAGAGAGAGGGTAGGAGAAGAAAAATGACTTTCGTAAAAAAGTCTAGAAGTCAAATTTCTAAAACAAGAGCACATTTTCTATTTAAGCAGGAGTTTGTTTTCCTTTGACTCTATTTTCCTATCTTGTCACACAACACAAGATTGAAAAAAAATGACTCTCACAAGTCATTTTTTCCAAGAAAAGAATCTATGCTGAATATAGAGTCTTTAGAACTTGAAATGTACTGGACTCTATTTTTACCCACCAATCTACTACTTCCTCCGTCCGGAAATATTTTTCCCGTGTTAACTTGGCATGCTTATTAAGGAATAGTAAAAAAATGCAAAATTTTCAAAAATGCATATATTATAAACTTTTAAATCTCCTTTTATTATTAAAAAAGTACTAAAAAAGTAGATTTGTGATAAAATAGAAGGGTATTATTGATATTTATCCTTAAAAAGTATACTAAAAAAGGAAATGAGAAGACTATTTCCGGACTGACAAAAAAGGAAAGTGGGAAGAATATTTTCGGACTCATCCTCTTCCAGCCCAAGGGATGTGGCTCGAGCCTTAATATTTCCCAATTTCGGGAAATCACCAAATGAAAAATTTAAGGCTATAAAATGGAATGATCAAATACACCGTTATTCACTAGATCAAGTCGCTGAAAAATTCAAAATCATCTGGAGGCATAAATGCACTCATAGTTATACTCTCACTCGCCGCCGGTATCCACCGCAGGACCGCCGATGAGTTCCACGGTTTCAATCAAGACACTGTTGGCCGCCAGCGGCGGCGACACCGTGAAGCTTTTTGACCTATCGCTGGAGCCTCGGGATACCTGCATTCTCTCCTACACTCCCACGCCGGGATTTCAAGTTAATTCCGTCAAGTGGAACCACACCAGTGGGTACCTCTAACTATTTGCTCTCGCTTTCTTTATGATTCATGTTGTGAAATTTTTTGATTTCTTCACAAGTCTGTGTTTGATTTTTTGAATTCCGGGTTGTTCTAGATTTGGTGGTCGCAAGTGCTGGAGATGACAAGAAGATATCTCTGTGGAGAAAGAACGGCCAGTCAATTGGGACAATTCCGGCAGCAGGAAGTGACTGTGGTGATAGTATCGAGGTAGTTTTTGCTGGTTCTGTTTATTATTAGATCATGTGAAACTATGGATTTTAGCTTCGTACATGCACTTAGCAAATGTGCTTGTTGGCTGATTTCTTATAATGGGACATAACATTATTCAAACAAAGCCATATGGCATTTACAACCAAGGCTCGCTCGAAGCGAATACAAAACTTATGAAATCAAAACAATCAATCTTCCTTACACATTGTGGATAAAAACTCCTCTGAACACCTTCATTGTAATCGATATCCTATTGTCTTTGCATCTTTCCATACTAACATGAACCCTCTAGTGGAAGATAAGATTATTTTGATCCAGAAAATTGCATCTAAGACGAACAAACTTGTGGATCTTGAAGACCATTTTTTAATCATAGGATGCAACACTCAAGTGCAAGTAGATCTTCATCCTAGTAACAACACATCGAATGACAGGCCAAGTCCAACAAGCACATTACAAAGCCAGATAGACGAACTAACTACTTGGATATACACTTCACTTGATAATCTAGTAAGAGAAACAAACTTCACTAATGGGTTAGGAAGTGAAGCAACACTGTGCAATGTAGTATGGGTGCACTTTTGTGGACACTTTTCAATTTTCTGTGCCATTTGAACTAAATACCATTTCTAAATCAAAGAAATGTGTGTTTATAACTATCGTTTCTAAATCAAAGATATGTGTGTTTATCTAGCCTTTTATTTGGTTTAGTAAAGAAATATATAAGAGAGAAGCAGTAGAGAAATATGGTGGATTCTGTTTGTTTGTTTGGAGAGATGTTGTTTGTTAGGAGACAAAGGGAGAAGAAATAGGTGGAAGTTGAGAATGAATGCATTTCTCATGTATTTTGATCAAGCAAATTTATTTTATCCATTTCCTGGAATTTTATTGTAAATATGTGCAAGAACATATTTCCTGTTGTTGTTTGGAACATTATATGTATATCACTACAGGAATCCATTGCCACCATCAATTTCAACAACAAAGGGTCTAGGTACCTTTGTTCTGGGGGAAGTGGTCAAATTGTTAGAATCTGGGATTTGCAGCGGAAAAGATGCATTAAATGGTTGAAAGGTCACAGTGGCACAATAACTGGTGCGACGTATAACTGCAAAGATGAGCACTTAGCTTCTATAAGCCTTAATGGGGATCTTATGCTTCACAACCTTGCTTCTGGTGCTAGAGCTGCGGAACTCAAGGATCCTCATGGGCAGGTCTCTTATGATGAATTATCAATTTTTTTTATACCTTTTATGGTACAACCTCTACTTTTGAGTAGGGGCAAGATCTGCGTACACACACAGACCCTACTTTGGTGGGATTCAATTGGGTTGTTGTTGATGATGCTTTTATGGTAATCGCATTTATCTTCTGATGCTTTAGATTTTATTTTGATGATTCAATGGCCAGGTTCTTAGAGTGATTGACTATTCAAGGACTAGTAGACATTTGTTGGTTACAGCTGGTGATGATGGATCTATTCACCTTTGGGACACTACTGGTCGCACCCCTAAGGTTTGTATTTTTGACATCTCGTTGCATCCCCCCACCCCCCCACCCCCCACAATGGGACAAAGGACGGAGGGCGTTCAACACATCATTAACTAGACTATCCTTAGTCAGGAAAACACTTCTAACTCTAAATCTTTGGTTCAAAAGAGGGAGAGGAGAGGAGTTAGTATTTTGGAAAAATATGTAAACCTATTTTGTATAACTTCTGTCGTAATTAAAAATATACTAATTTTACATGTATAACAGTAATTTTATCACGGGTCATCTTGAGACATTGCTATATGTTTAAAATATAGGGGTCA